ATCGGTGACAAAGGGCAGCCTTGGCAGAGTCCAACTCTCACCGGAAACGAGCCCGACGTACTGCCGGCAATGCAGACCAGACTCTGACACCGGTCGTACAAGGACCTGACAGCCTGTATCAAATGGCCCGGTACCCCATACTCCCAGAGAACCCTCCGCAAGGCCCCCCTTGGGACACGGTCGAACGCCTTCTCCAAGTCCAAGTCCGTTTTTTGTGAAACCCAGACACATCTTTGACAAAACCACATTTGAACACCAAGAAAATCTGTCTCCTWGGAGGAAAAATCTAACAAACCAACGAAGGGTTCAAGATGTTTTCTCAGAACTGTAAAGATTGTTTTTGTTAATCTTTCAGGAGAACATTATATCCCCCATGGAGGATTCACCTATACCAGACATTTCAGGAAAGGATGGTAACGATGGAGCAGGGACGTCTCCTCGAAGCCAAGGGAAGGCTTTCAGGTGTGCTTTTATGTTTCCTGCATCTTACTGACGTAGACAGGCTTCCAGCTGAGCTCAGGACTCTGCTGTAGGTTATAAAATGCCAMGTTTGGAATTAATTTACTTTTATTTTTTTACAAAAAGTACAAAGTGTGATCCTAAATGTACAACTGGTTTGTTGAGGCTTCTGTGTTATTGTGAGTTTGTTGCTGAGCAGATCATGTAAGACCTTAAAAAGCCCAACATATTTATTTTTTCTATGATATATCAACTTTTGCTTTTCAGACATTTGTTTAAAACAGATTTTTATTTYTCACATGAAGTCTGTCAGGATAATAACCAGATCAGTTCTAATTGTTTGGTCAGTTTTATCAATACCCCGTTTTCAAATTTGAAAGAACAGAAAGCAGGGAGTATTTGGGTTTTAGTGGTGACGGTGTAGATGTGATTCATCACAGAAAAGAATGAAAACAAAAACTAAAATGTTTTTTTTTCTGAAAATTCTCACAAGGTTTCTTGAAAGCTTCCACACTCTCACTAGTTTTAGATCAGGGTGGCAGAGCTCAAACCAGAGCAAGTCCACGTCCAGAGGAGGTGAAGCTCGATTTATTAGAAAGGGAAAAAAAATATAAGTTGTGCAAAAAAAAGTCAGAAAATTTTGAGGAGTGGCTGTTTTTACATGAACATTTCAAATTTCTGTCCAATTCCCTAAAACCCTTAAATGTTGTTTATTTAAAACAACAGCAGTTGACCAAAGTGCTTCGCAATTTACACCAACTATTAACATAAAATAAAGATTAAAACAATACAAAGATAAAAATAGAACACAGAGACATTCACAGCAAACAGAAAACAAGTTGAGTAAAGCATCAGAGAAATAAGAACTCAAGCTGTTTTAAGAAAACAGACGTGTTTATAGGGTTGGGCATAATCGTATCGTTTGTGATTAATCGTCAGAAAAACATTAATCGATTAATTTTTGGCACTTGACAATTAATACGATTAATGCCAACAGGTAGAATCC